ATCATATTAGGGAAAACATGGATGAGGGAGCAGCAGACCACCTGCAAGACTGAATTACACAGATGAACTAAGTTTCCTATGTTGCATGCAGTTTCATTTGTGTGTGTCTTAAAGACAATTCTTACCAAATAACCCATTTACTAACAAGGGATTGTTTTTAGACTTCCACCATATGGAGCATTCACACCAACAGTGTAATAAATTCAGACTAATTCCACTGGGAATTAAAGACCAGGCCACGCTAGTGTCACAAAAATGAATGCCAATAATAAATCACAACAGGAAAAATCAACTGTTCAACCAACTGTAATTATTTTAAATAAAATATTTCATTACTAGTCATATCATATGTGTGTCATTCATATCGATAGCCCTTAGAATAATGTCCTTTATTTAAATGTGTGCATCATACCCCGATTTGTAACAAAGTAACTGGTGTTTAATACAGGACATTATCTACATGCATTCTATTGACATACCTGAGCATCACTCCAGGTGACTTATGGGGGTCACATATATATTGGAACTTAGCTGTCTATGCAAGCTCTTTTCCTGATAAAACAAGTGTGTTTTATTTTAACAAAAATAGACATATTTTGTAGTTACTGAAGGTGTGTTAAGTTCATATTTCTCTGAATTAATATTTCTCTGATTGTTGAATTTAGTCACAGAGTCAACATGTTTCACTGCTCTAAAAACAAAATAGACATAAACATGTAATCTATGAAAATACTTCTGCCTTATCACTAGGCTAAAATATATCTCTAGGTATACAGAAGATATTTGGCCGTAATGGAAAGGATGTTGAGTCAAAGGAGTGGTAATAGCATTAAAAATGCAAAGATCCTCCAGGTCTTCCATTACATAAGAAGGCGGCTTTGTGTAGTCCCTGAAGAGTCATTATTACCAACTCCTATAGGCTTTCTGTAGCAGATGTATGTGGAATACTATCTGTGTAGCCCCCAGGCTCATGGCTTCTTTCAGCTTCACTGGTCTTATGCTTTAATGATGCTGTACTTCCACTCGCTTCCTCATTTAAATTAGAGGCGTCAGAGTGGTCCGCAGCATCTGCATTGTCTTGTATTGAAGTAAATGCTTGCAAATCTGGAATTCCTGCAGTGTCTTTGGTTGGCGGAATAAGTGGCTCTTCTAAGGATTGTGAAGTGTATGTTATTGCGGAGGTATGACTTGTGTGATGAGTAAGTGGTGAAAGGATGCTGCTTGGTACAGGGTCTTCCATGCCTGAGGTAAAGGTCTCCATCCCTGCATCTGGGTTGGTGCTTGATGTCAAAGTCACAGTTTCTTTGTTCCTGTGGGTAGTATCCTCCCCAACCAGTGTGTTAGCTGAAGATTCTGTAAGTACCTTCTGCTGTGATGCAGAAGCTATGTAAGATACAGGCGATTGGGTCGCTATATATTCCATGCTGTCTGCATCCCTTGCCTGATTCCCTGCATCATCAAAAACTGATAATCGTTTGGAGGAGTACAGAATAGCCCTTACATTTTCACTTGCAGTGCTGTTGGCAGGTGTGTCATTCAGCGACTGAGTTAAATTGCTGGAGAAAGTAGTAAAGTAATCAGGGCTTGGGCTGCTATTAGCTGGCCCACCACTTGTCCGTACAGGCTTCCATATAAGACTGTAGTAGACAGCTAATAATATAGCAGCCAATGAGACTGACAGCACATAGGCAAAAACTGTGGCCAATCTCACCCATTTCTGATTGGTTTTGGCTGCCATTTTGGCCTTCTTGTCTCCAGTGTACGTGGGAGGTCTCCCTCTTTCCATATTGGTAACGAAGTCTTTGTCCTTCATGATGCCCCGTTTTTTGGCCGTGTGCTCCACCGTGATGCCTGATGCAGCAATATTAGAAGGAAGCAGGTAATCTATGAGCTGGTACCAGCAGTAAAAGATATTATTCTATTGCTCCTTGATTCTTTGTTTTAGGACATGGATTGAATAGGGTTTCATAGCATTTAATCTCCGCAGATGCAGACATGGAGGTAATGCAGCACGCATCAGTTGACTGTTCTGCGTCTGGTGGTTCAGTGAATGTCAAATGATATGGTCCGTGTATGCCTTTATGACACATGGACTGCTGTTGGATTTATTGAGAAGAAAATGATCCATTGTTGGTCTCCCAGTATAGATCTCTTCACTCCTGAACGGAATGAGGCTGCTTACTTCAGCAACACACAAGAGAGAAGCAGATGAGGAGGGGCAGGACTGCTCTTCTTAAAAGGGCAATCAACTGATGCTAGCATGAGGTAGCAATTGGTTGCTATAGCAACGATCATATGCCAAACCTCCCTAGGAGCAATATAATTAACAGGAACACAACAACATGAATGGATCGAAAATCTTTGTATATATTTTTTTTATCTCTATTTGGTAATTTAGCTGCATATGGCAGATTTACAAGGTACAGTGTTAAAGCAATCAGTGTGCTTTTTTTTTTATAGGTAATGCAGTATAACATACAGTATTCCAATAATCAGTGATTGTGACAAATGAAGTGTCTCTTTGTTTACCTTGTCACAATATGTAAGGTTGTGCTACAGACTTCTTTTTGGGTTATATTTTAGGATACAATAGTTCTCCAGTTGAACAGGACTGATGCAAATAGATGCCCTTTTTACGTAGGCTGATTACATAACTTTCTGAAGTGATTAATCACGTAACTTGGTAAAGGTGTTTATTATTTCCCTTGCACATGATTGGGTATTCAAGTGAACACAGATTCACTGCATTTACCTAACTTAGTAAGCATGCACTTTGCAAAGTGAATTTTTACTTTTTAAACCGAGCTGTCTTTACTCCTTTAGCACATCAAGCACAGAGATGAGCAAATATACCAAATTACTGTACTGCACTCTCCATCAGGACTGCCAATACAGCCAAAACTGTACTGGACATGCATATACAACACTAAGAGCTTTATAATACAGGTGATAATCTACATGTTGGTTAGTGTGTTTAGTGTGTGTTTAGATAAAGCACTGAGATCTTGAGGAATGCTGGATTTAGTTTTACTTGCTAAGGAGAACATTACATCAGAATATACAGGAATACAGCCAGTGGTGTATTTTGGCTTGGGGCTGCCCTAAGCAAGACGAAACTCAGGCACTGATCCCTAACAGGGAGGCTGCTGAGGTCCCCAGCAAGCGCCGTTGCCGGTGTTCTGTCGAGAACGCCGACCCAGTATCTGCGTTTACATACAGACGGGATTACCGAGGAAACCGCCATTTATTTACAATGCTTTTGTTTGTAATGGTTAATTGTGACCGTTAATAATATACCATGCATGGCAGTGAATGATGGATGGCAATGAATGATGGATGGCAGTAAATGATGGATGGAATATTATTAACAGTCACAATTAATGATTTAAACTAAATACTGTGTAAATAAATCCCCGTTTCCTCGATAATATTGGTCTATGCGCAAGCGCAGATGCTGAGGTCAGCAAATTTGACTACGTCGGCGTTCTCGACAGAACACCGGTATCTGCATTTAGTGTTGGGGCATTTTCACGAGTATGAGTACCCGTGAAAATGACAAGTATTGGCAGTGGTGTATCCCTACTTAAATATATAATGCATTGCTGGGACTTGTAGTCCTACATAGTTGGAGCTATTCTGCATTGCTGTATAATGATTCAACTGCAATGCAGAATAACACCAGCTATGCGGGACTACAAGTCCCAGCAATACATTATAATAAAAGTCAGCTATGCAGAATAACACCAGCATCCCCCCCACTATAATGCATTGCTGGGACTTGTAGTCCTACATAGTTGGTGCTATTCGGCATTGCTGTATAATCATCATACAGCAATGCAGAATACCACCTGCTATGCGGGACTACAAGTCCCAGCAATACATTATAATAAAAGTCAGCACTTCCGAATATCACCAGCATCCCCCCCACACTTCCCTGTGCCCCTTCGCACTCTAGATTTACCTTTCCTCTCCTGCTGGGCCCTCTTCCTCGTCTCGGCGGCCAGGGGGCGGGGCTAAGAGGAGAGGGTCCTCACATAGCAGAATGTGCTGCCCGGCGGTGACAGCCTCTCCATCCCTGCCGCAAAGCCACCTGTACATGCTGCGGGTGGCTGTGTGGCAGGGAAGGAGCGGCACGATCTCGGGGGGGGGGGGCCTCTTCTTCCTTGCTGGGCCCCCCCAAGTAACGGAACGCCAGGGCCCAGTCGCAATTGCAATCGCTGCGACCCTGGTAGTTCCGCCAGTGGTATCAAGTGGGATGTGCGGAGTCTATGATGGGCTCTGCAGTATCTTTGGTGGGCTCTATGGGGTCTATGGTGCACTCTACAGGGTCTATAGTGGGATCGGCAAAGCTCACCTGAGACCCTGCAGAGCCCACCATAGATCCTGTAGAACCTACCTGAGACCCCACACAGCCCACACAGATCCAGCAGAGCCCCCCTGAGACCCCACAGAGCCCAACATAGAACCCACTCTCAGGTGGGCTGTTCAGAATCTATGCTGGTTCTGAAGGGTCCCTTAAACAGCACAGTGTGGTCCCCTTAGGTGCAGCTCCCCAGCCTGCCTCCTGATGACATCTGCTGTCAGATTGAGCCTCCTGCTGCTGCCTTCTCCACTGCCGAACCAGTGCTATTTGGTCCCCAGCCTCCTCCACCGCAGGACCAAAGCTTCAGGTACCCGGCCTTTTCTGCCCCCCGACCAGCGGAAACCCGGCTTCCCCTGAGACCCTGCAGAGCCCACCATAGATTCCACAGAGCCCACCATAGACCCACAGTATATGACAGCTTGCAAGGTGGTATTCCCTTTGTCGCCCGAGTGGATCTTCTAATTTTAGGATGTTCAGCAACAATTTACATGGAATTTGAATTATCCATTACGAGTTCCATCTCTTGTTCTGACTCCTCTGCGGCTTCATTTTGCTCAGCTTTCTGTGCTGGTTTACTGGGTGAATTCACTTCACAACTTCCCGGGATCATTGTTTCTGCTGATGGGTTCTCATAAACACTGCAACTTATTCTCACCATGTCAGTCTTTGGGTAGACGATTCTATATCCCTTACTTTGTTCACGATAGCCCACCAGAATACCTTCAATAGCCGTGTTCTCCAACTTGGATCGCTTCTCCTTTGCAATAAAGGCATAAGCTTTACATCCAAACACTCTGATGTGCCCTTGACTAGACTCCATTTGCGGGCATCTCAGGAGCCTGTACGGGGTCTGACCAGGGCTGTGCGTGGACTGGCCAGGGCTGTGCGGGGTCTCAGGATGCTGTGCGGGGTCTCAGGAGGCTGTGCGGGGTCTCACCAGGGCTGTGTGCAATCTCATAAGGGTTGTGCGGGGTCTCAGGATGATATGTGGGGTCTCACCAGGGCTGCTTGCTGTCTTATCAGGGCTGCGTGCGAGTCTCACCAGGGCTGCGTGCGGGTCTCATCATGCCTGTGCAGTCTCCCAGAGTTTAAAAAAGAACTGAGGGAGACCGCACCCAGAGTTAAAAAAAAGTGTGTGGGGTTCCCCCAAAAGTCATACCAGGCTCTTTAGGTCCGGTAGGACTTTTAAGGGGGAACCCCACCCAAAAAACTGGAAAAATTGTAGGGTTCTCCCTAAAATTTCCAACCAGACCCTTAACCTGGGCACAGGCCAGGAAAGTGGGGGGGCGAGCAAGTCTCCCCCCCCCCACCACCATACCAGGCCACATGCCCCTTTCCCCCTGGAAAAGCACCTTGTCCCCTTGCTGATGAGGACAAGGGCCTCTTCAGCCACAACTCGGACCAAGTGATTGTGGGGGTCTGCTGGCAGGTATGACTTTTGGAGGGAACTCCACGCACTTTTTTTAACTTTCTAACTTGGGGTTCCTCCTAACTTTCCTACCACACCTAAAAGGTCTGGTATGGATCGGGAGGGGGACCCCGCGCTGTGTTTTTTTGTGGACTGCTGGAGGTTCGGCTCAGCCGATGCAGATGTTGGATCGGCCAAGTCTAACGTGTTCATCTGAAGCCAGCCGATGTATGGCTGAAATCAGCAGTACTTGGCTGAAGTGAATAGCTGAACGGCGTTCGGCTCCCTTCACTTCAGCTTGGTTATTCACTCGGCTGCTTTTTGATTCTCAGGGGAATTTTAACTATATTGTTATTTTTTTAATTGTGTGAATTTTCTTTTACTCTGGAGCATTGAAAATAAATGGATAACCTTTATTTAAACTGATTTTGGAGTGAGCATTATCCAATGTCTTTTTTTAATGAACTAGCTATTCAGGTGAACACACCATACCAGTGGATGTAAATTGGATAGTGGAGCAATGATGTTTTTTTGTTTATGTGGACAACAGGGCCATCTTTAATATTGATTGGCGCAAACATTTGCTTGGGCTCCTACCCATGACCCTGTCTGGTCAAGTGTGCTGCTTATGGGGAGGTTCAAGCATAGGTGTGGCCATACTCAGTGTGGTCCCATGCTGACCCTCTTCTTTACTTGATGTGCCAAGTAAAGAAGAGGGTAAATCTTGTGGTAAATCTCTGAAACTCCTTGTGAAACTTCCCTCCTGATTGTTTTAGGGTTCAAATGTTGCAGTGGATGCAGATCTGGATTCTTGTGGGGGAGGAGAGGTGGAAAAAGTGAAAAAAGAGGAGGAAGAGGAGTGTGGGCCTTTTTCTGCTGACCGGTATCCAGTGGTGTCGCTACAGGGGGGCAAGTGCCCTCCCTATGTTATCACTTGCCCCCCCGTGTGCCCCCCCCACGGGGGGGCAAGTGATAAGAGAAATGGAATCCCTGTCCCAGCAGATAACTGTGTGATAACCGGCCCGGGCACAGTTATCTCCTGGGACAGGGGTTCTCCTCGCTGCAGCCTCACAGACTGTCAGCGGCTTCTCCCTACAGATTGTAATCGGCTGCAGTGATAGATTGCAGATTACAGCCTGTAAGGAGAACCCTACGACAGTCTGTGAGCTCCCCCTCACTCCCTGCAGTCTACTCACCTCTCCGCGGCGTCTGCGCTCCTCTCCTGTTGACAGCCGCGCGATCGTCTTCATTGCAGCAACTGAACGCAATAGCCAGCCTGCTATTGGCTCTTTTAAATTGCATTAGCCAATAATAGGCAAATAAAATAAAGTTAAACTAAAAGTAAAAATTTAAAAAAAGGTAAATAAAAAAGTTAAATAAATAAAAAGTAAAAATGTAAAACAATAAAAAAATAAAGTTTAATTTAAAAAAAA